AGGAATCCGCAGACAAAAACTGAGCAAAGGATGAGTTTTGGGAACAGATATAGAAGGCTTAGATTTAAGAAAACTTAAAACTTTCTAGACCACTCCCACTATCAACAATTTAGGAATATAATACTCACTAGAGAATATTTTACAGAGAATAAATATTTTGAAGACATAGAAAAATAGTTCACAGCATCAAGGTACCTGTAATATATTACCTTGAAATAAAACTTGTATTTAAAAGATTAAAAAGAGAAGATTATTCTTGTAGTGGTATCAACTTTTCATTCATACAAATATTAAGCAGAGTATATCTGTTTTTTCATATATTCACATTATTGCTTGCTACCACAACTGTACAAGGAACATATTCTTAACTTACATTATTGTTCATGTACAGTAATTTTAGAAACCTAAAGCAAATTTAAAAATATGATTGAGTTGCAATTTAAAAAAAAAACCTATGTGTGAAGATATGTACAACTAAGATACAAGTAGAAGAAACAAAATACAACTGGCCTGACCCAAGCATACATCATATATCCAGTTAAAAAAAGTCTTATATTTGTGCAGAAAATAAGCTTTGTAAACCAAAATGAGCAGAAGCAAGGGTGCAATAAATAATTTTCTAACACATTTAAACTTACACTGTTGCCCAGTGTACCCTGCTTTGATTATTTTTAATACACGGCATCTGCATTTGCATCTGGAACTGTACTGTTCAAGATTTCTTCAGTAACTTTTTTCTGCTTATGTGGCTTTAAAACAAACAAACAAAAAACCCTGAAAGGTCCTCTTGGACAGTAAGTTTTGGTAAAACAAGTCCTTCTGCAGCCCTGTATACAGGATCTGGTAAACAGTAGGTATAAAGCTGATACATGGCATTAGCCTGAATCAAAACAGCTACATTATAAACTGCAGTACTAATATATTTTTGTGACCTTGAGTTCTACTAACCAGATGCATGCAATTCTCTCAGTGATTCTTCTAGTCTGAGTAAAATAATTCTATTTTGCTGCTTTTCTTTTTTTTAACCTTTAAATTAGAACTTTTTCAGAACCAGCTGACAGGACTTCTTCATGAAAAGCACAGAGATTTCTACTAATGCAATGACATTTGGGTTCCAAAAAGCACAGTTTCAAAAAGAACTTTATCTCCTTCTTTTGTTAAAGAGGCTAGCCAATATCCCAAAAAGAAATAAAAATATTTACAATTGACTAGTCACTGACAAAAGTTTAGGAAGATCTTCGAAGGTACTTCAGCATGTAAATGAGTAAAAGGACTTACACAATGTACAGTCAATCAGTTGTATCATTTTGGGATAAAAAAATACCTGCTCGCTTGTATACCATTTTCAGCTGTGTATTTGTAGTAATACATATATATATGTACACACACGCGTGCACACATATAAAAGACTCTTCGAAAATCAAGATACATTAATAAACAGAAGTAGTAAAAGTAACAATAACTTAAGTAGTAGTTAACATTTGCGTGAAATGACTTTGCAGAGTTTGACCAAATGCACTTAGAACATGCTCTTATTTTAAAAAAAATACAAACAGCAAAACAAAACAAAAAACCAAACAAAAAAGAATGAAAACACCACAAGATTCTGTAGAACCAATAATATGTCACCACCAGGAGAGCACCAAGCAAGGCACCATTGGAAAGACAACATACTTGAATAAGTCTCTATAAATAAATCAAATGCTAATCTGGTCGAAAAATCGGTGTCTTTGGTAAAAATTCTATAAGGATGACCTGTAAAAAAAGAAAACAAATATATATTAAATGGAAGATGGCAGCAGTCCTATTATCTACCACAATGATAACTAACATGCTTTTTTTTTTTTTTTTTTTTAAGTGCCTCAAGTTGTGATGACGATCAAAGATCATGGTGCTTTTCTTAGGTTGGAGACCGTTAGAAAAGTCATGTTTGATATAATGGTTTTGGGGTAGAAAACCAAAACTCTTAAAGAATCAAATTCAATTAGAAAAGTTTGCCTACCAATACCTAACACATCTAAACAAACTGAAATAAGCTACTATGTAATTATTCTTTAACATAATTCATTTACTTTATTAGGAAAAAATTACAAAAAGAGATAAACATTCATTTTAAAAAAAACAGAAGGCACAACGTATGCAAAGTTAATTTTCAATTACACATGCAATTCCCTTTACTTCAAAATTGTTTCCACTTAATATAGGTTTCTAAATCATGTTTGTAGTTCAAAACTTGTACAGGAAGGTGTATCAACTTTTGCAACGTTCCCATATCTAACAAATCTGCAAGCAGTTAACAAGAAACTTGACTACTGCTTTTGCATGATTATTCTTATGGTCCCGATTCAAATTTAAACTGTGTTTCTGAGCTATGTACACATGGTAGGGTACACTCCAGCATACAATCCAAATATTTATCCTACTTTAAATAGAAAGCTTGAAGTAAATGTTCGCTTGTGCATTTTCTTTCTTCAGAGAGAGTGTCATAATACAGCAGCATGATTGTCTTCATAAACAAATAAATGCATCTGGTAACATAACTAAGGATTTCATTTACTTGTAAGGGGACCTTGCCTTTCTTAGAAGTCAAAAAGGAATTTCTAAATGTTTTTGATTGTAAAGGAGAACACAGCTTGGCTGCTTAGAGAGTAAACACTTCTATCTCTGATAGCATACTGGCCATCAGAAAAGAAGGAAGTCTGTGATTTTATTTCTAAGGCAAACACTTTTGAAATAATGAATATTAAAATCAGGTGTGTAAGTTTATTTTCAGAGATATTCAGAAGTGACTTATTTTCAGAAGTGATGCAAACTGCTCAAAATCCATTGACCAGTCAACCACTGGATGCTTCAGAGACACCAGGGCTTCTGATATTCAGGCAAGGTTTCAAAAAGGGAGCAAGAAGTAAAGCTGCAACACTGTGTTTATGCCAAAGGTGTAAGACTACCTTGTCTTTATTTAATTTCTTTAATTATTTATTTAAATTACCATCTACAACAGTGGATTTAGAACCTCAAGTTGGCAAAGCACCAAGTTTTGGGTACAAGAGTCTAATTTAAATTACCCCTTTTGAAAAAAATTAAGGATAAGTGTTCATTATTTAAAATTAAATCATGAATACAACATTCAGGGCAGTTTTTAAGACACTAGCAAATCAGTTCACTGAAAATGAGAAAGTGGTACAGAGAAATTTTGTAAAAATTTTCTCATTAAATATATCCAGAGACAATATATTAGACGTTTCACAAATTGAAAATAAAATCTTCGATCTTTATCCTGTAAAACTGCATGCCCATGCTTACATATTAATGTTTTCCTGTTGAAAAAACAAAATTTTCAGTGAAATAAAAAACCCTTCATTTTGGTAAAGCTCAAATCTACTTTCTTTGAAATTTGCTTTATTCCATTTTCAGTCACATTTCATACATCTAAACCAAAAAATTTTGTAGAACAGATGTCACAAGAAGTCTACTTATTCAGTGAACTGAATAGAGCCGTTCTGTAAAAAAATGCATTTTAAAGATCTTATGTTCAGGCTGGAAATAAGATCTAATGCAGGAACAGGAAAAAGGGGAAGACTAAAAGAAAAAGATTCTTTTAGTATAATTTCCAACTATTTAATCACTTAAGATTTTTATATGCATGATAGCTTTGTTGTTTCAAAGAACAGACAAAGTACCATGTAATGAAAGATCACAAATAAGTTAGAACTAATACAGTGGATATTCCTCAAAGGCTAATCTTTACTTTCAAAGTTAACCCTTCCTACCGCCTACTTCCTAGAGCATTAGAATTTGCAGAATTTCTTTTAATGTTTCTTACATTTTAGCAGCTTAATTTCATCCTATTCTAGGTACCTCCAAGATATTTTGAAAATGGGAATAGAAACAGCACCAAAAAAGAGCAAGAAGGTTGCAAGCTAAACAAACTGAAATCCCACATTGGACACTTATTTTAAACCACATATAACTTCTCACTGTATATTTTCAAGAAGAGCTTATGGAGTCTCAGCCAAAGACTGAAGTAAGTTAAAACTCCAGAGACTGACTTAAAAATATTTTAGTGACACCAATTGGAGATAAAGATACTTTCAAGACAGTTGAGGTAAGGGGCAGTTAAAATCTAAAAAGGCTAAAGGTTTCTTAAGCTCCAACAGCTTAGTTGAAAGGTCTTCTTCCATACTTTTAGACTTGATTAGCATTATATAAAACAGCCATATCTGACTTGCTGCGTAACCAAAGTTGTGGTTATTCTTTATACAGCATCTAAAATTTCACACTCCATCAGCACATGTTCAAGCTATTTTATCTTGGCAATTAATTTATTATTTTTCAGAACACAGTGAAGCCTTGTTTTCAAGTCATTCATAACTTTATAAATCAGTCCTGCACATGAAACCATGCATCTGTGAACCGTAGAAAATCCTTGCACTCAGGCGATTAAGCTCCTGACACCTTTACTGATTAATAATCATGAAAAGAATAAGATCAGAAGCAAAATAAATGATCATTTAATAGAGAAACTCACAAAACAGCCCTTTAACTTACATATTCCATCATGTTATTCGTTTCACATTTCCTTTTGCTTAGTCTCCAATGCAAGCACAGCTAGACAAGGAGGAAAGAAAAAGAAGAAAAATGAGCTGTATTTTATTGCAGCACACAGACTGGCCCATTTGTCCACCTTTCATATTTTTCGTTCAACAAAAGCATCTGTTTCCATACTGTGCAATTCAAACTCCAACAGTACGAAGCTGCTCCCTGCGGCACTCACCTTGTGGTATAACCTATTGTTTTCCCATTCTAATAACTTCTCAATCGATCTTCGTGTCTGGAAGACAAATGAGAAAGAATTTTACTCTTGACTGGTTTTAGAAAAAACTTTGTTTTGCAGCTGCTTTTGTGTGAAAAGGAGAGAGGTACAGGACAGTGACTGAGTACAGGGTGGTCTGTAGTACTATCAAAACTTCTCCGGTATTAAGTAGTAACTAGAACAGAAACACCTTTTTATGACACCCAAATAACTATCTTCAACCATTTTGGAACAAAAACTGTTCATATATATGCTTTCTGGTTCTTATAGCAGTTATAACTTTAAAACCACAGAAATTTTGAAGTGATCTAAGTATAAAAGCAGGAACACTGCTCCCCCAGTATCAGTGGTCTAAATGCACTGCTTCTAAGAAGGTCGGCATCTAAACTGACAAATGTTGCGAACTATTTTGCAATGCTGTAGGTCAAGTACAAATATGCAATACTCTAAACAAAAGAGAATTTTTTGTTGCATTTATATCCAGATTTTAGAGACTGAAAACCAAATGCAGAAAGTTACAGTACATTGCACAAATCAGTATTACTAAATCTGTGATCTGTGTAAAGACCAAACCCAGTATTTCGGATTCTAAAGCAAAGTTTTACTGCCTGTGTTGTCCACACTTGACACTTCAGATAGAGAATCCTGAAAGCTGTTCTGCACAGCTTTTTAAGATTATGCATGCTAGTATTAAAGGACATTCTGTGCTGTAAAGTTTCACAGCAGTTTGAATATAATTGTTCAGTTATATTTACATTTGAGAAATACATTCTGACATTTATGGTCATTTGACTGCCAGAATATATACTGCTTAGCTCTAAATGGGATTTGCTACTGACTATGAATAAAAAGAGGATAATTCATGGTGCCAGGTGTTAAGATGAGACCAACAGAGCTGCAGGTGCAAAAGGACGGAGCAATGACAAGGATCAAATACAACTTAGTGCAGCTGCAGCTTCCTTACAAGGCAGAGAGGGGTGAGGGGAAGGGATGAGAAAGCATCTTGCTGTTATTACTACAAAATGCAAGTACTGTAAATGAACCTTAACAAATCAAACTAAATGCTGTCATGAGAAACAAGAATGTCTGAGCAAAATAAAAATTAGACAACAAATTATTCATTTCCCACCAAATATTACCATCTTGGTTTTCAAACATCAGTTTCTCTCTAGTTTAATACCGAAGTGGTTGTGGGGAAACACATCTAAGCATGTACTGTGGTCACATGATTAAAAATTAGTTCATTGCTATCTATGAGTAATCATTACACTGAATTTTTATTAAGTTTTATTTTAAAAAGCACAAGTCAAGGAATTATCAGAAGGTGGGTGTGCCGGTGACTAATTTATCACATCGATTGGGAATTGAGTATTTTTGGGGTTATTGTTATTATTATGTTTTTAAAGACAGTGCCCTTTAACAATAATCAGTAGACCTCACTTGTTTCTTTGTAAAGATAGCCTTTTAGAGTCTGCTCTCCTTTTAAATGAAAATAGGGCAGCAGTTATGGTCACACTTTTGTTAATTTAGTTGCCAGTCAGCTCCAAATCAAAAGAAAATAAGGCTGCAGAGTGTAATTAACATTCAGTTCAGTCGTTTTGTCCCTTGTCTAGCCCCCAAGCTTTGTTAAAATTGCCATCTGAGCTGTGAAGGCT